TATATGGGTTGCTACAACCCTAAACCCTGAACCCTAAACCCTATACCCTAACCTTAAACCCAAAACCCTAAACCGTGATAGTAGAGCTCATAGGGTTCATCGAGGGCCGAGGGTTTAGGGTCCCTGAAAGGCCGTCTCCGAACTGAGAGCGCCTGGATGGCTGGAGTGAAGATGATACCCAAGCCTGGCTGGTCTGTTTGGGGTTTAGGGTTTCGGGTTTAGGGTTTAGGGTCTAGGGTTTAGGGTCTAGGGTCTAGGGTTCGGGGTTTAGGGTTTAGGGTAATTGCGGTTTGGGGTTTGGGGGGCTCAGCTCTTTCCAGGAAACTCGTCATAGCTCTCTCGAAAAGGGCAACTGCATCCTTTGCACCATCAACTTGACCCCGAAGCCCGAAAATTCAGCTCCAAGGGCATGCGCCCCAGTGTTAGGGTTTAGGGTTTAGGGTTTAGGGTTTAGGGTTTAGGGTTTAGGGTTTAGGGTTTAGGGTTCAGGGTTTAGGGTTTAGGGTTGCCCCAAAGGGCCACGAGGTTGAGGGTTTAGAGTCTAGGGTTTTCGGGATGAGGGGATGGAACCCTGAAGCACCGATTTTCCATTGGGAACCGGCCTGTGGTGAGGACAAGGACGTAGAGCCAGTGAAAGGTGGGCACGAAGCCTGTGATGGGTTCGTAAGGTTACGTGCGGGTTAGGGCTTAGGGTTCAGCATCTCATGTTGTAGCTGTCACCTGTCACTAGGCAAGCAGCTTTTCAAGCGACGCCAGGCCAAAGAATCCCATAACACTAAGAACATGTAAAGTTCATTAATTCATACAAACAGCGCATTCGCCCATCACCCTACGCCCTGGGCTCTAGGCCCTAAGCCCTGGGCCCTGAACCCGAAACCCTCGGCCCCAAACCCTGACTCCGAGGGCCTCGAACCCCTGAACCCTAGGCCCTGAACCCGTAAACTGACCTGCTGAACAGGCCCGGAATTCCCAAACCCTAGGCCCGAACCCTAAACCCCCCTCCCAAGCCCCAAACCTAGACCCTCCTGAACCCTGACCTTTTGTACCCTACAACCCTAGGAACCCTAAACCCTAAACTCTAAATCCTAATAATGCTGAGCTCCTGTGCTTGGCGCCTTTGACCCCACACTAAGGGGCATGCCTGTGGCACTAATGGGACCCTAAACCCTAAACCCTAAAAAACCCCAAACCCTAAACCCTAAATCCCAAACCCTGCTTCCGTTCGTACGTTGTTACTATCAAACCCGGTGCAGGATGCTTAGGTAACCTATAAAAAAGGTTGGTTTTGGGTTCTTAAGGTAGGCAAGAAAGGTCTAGGGGTTGTTGGTGTAGGGTTTTGGGGTTATAGGTTGTAGAGCAAATGACCCTCAACTCTAAACCCTAAACCCTGAGCCCTAAACTCTTACCCCTAAACCGCCGGGCACCCGCACCTTACGCAAGCCATCATCCCCCTCAAAAACCCTAAACCCTGAACCCTAAACCCTGAACCCTGAAATCTCCAAAGGTGACGCAAGCCATCATCCCCCTCAAAAACCCTAAACCCTGAACCCTAAACCCTGAACCCTGAAATCTCCAAAGGTGACGAGAGGCTGAGCACTGCGCAGTTTAGAGCACCAAAGACGTAGCCCAAGAGGATCACCTCGACTGTTATGGGGTCCTATAAGGATTACAATAGGGTTTAGGGGGGTAGGGTTTATAGGGTTTAGGGTTTATAGTTTAGGGTTTGGGGTTTAGGGTTTAGGCTTTAGGGGGTTTAAGGTGGGTATGTAACCCAAGGTTCCCTAATAATCCCCACTAATCCCTAAGGGAGCCAAAGCTTCCCTCACTTAAGGACCCTACAAGAGCGGCTTGGCGCGTAAGGTTTGTAACCCAAACCATGCTTCTTAGGGTTTAGGGTTTAGGGTTTAGGGTTTAGGGTTAGGGTTTCGAGTTTGGAGTAGAGGGCTTAGAGGGGATTTAGGAGGGTTCGAAGGAATGAGGAATGTGCATACTTCTGGGGGGGGGGGGGGGGCTATGATGAGCTAGTATTGTGGGGCGAAGAGTCTGGGTCTGAGGTTTCAAGGCTTAAGGGTATGGGCTGACGATTAGTTTTTATTGTTTTTGGCTGGGACCTGAGGATTTACGTGGTTTGGTTTCGGGTTGAGGCTTAAGGGTTTAAGGGTTTACTTGGACAGAGATCCTGTTAAACCCTAAGCCCTAAACCCTAAACCTTAAAACCTAAACCAACCCTAAACCCTAAACCCTAAACTCTAAACCCAACCCGTATTCGGGGCTCCAGGACAAGGGCTTTTCCTGTCCACCTGCTTGAAGGTTTTAGGGGCCGTTACAAGCTACATTTAGGGTTTAGTGTTTAGGGTTTAGGGTCTATACAGGTAGGGTCTTGGGTACTTCATTCGCTTGTAGTCTACACGCGGAGGGAACCCCAAAGAATAGTTAAGGGCCTTTACAGTCCCAAACCCTAAACCCTAAACCCTAAACCCTAAACCCTAAACCCTAAACCCCTAAACTCTAAACCCCTAAACTAAACCCTAAACCCTAAACCCCAAACCCTAAACCCTAAACCCCTAAAAACCCTAATTTTTCTGGGCTCAGCCGAGGCACGCCTTTCAATCCCAGCCATCGGTCCAGGTGCTTGACCAGCAGAACTTGAACCTCCACTCCCCCTAGAACCTTACATTTCTTGTACCCCCAAAAGGACCCGACACCTTCAAGTAAACCCTAAACCCTAAACCCTAAACCCTAAACCCTATATTTCTTGTACCCCCAAAAGGACACCCAAGATATACACTCACCAATTTTAAAAGGGAACCCTATATACACTCACCACAAACAGTAATATAAACCCTGCTTCATATATGTGTATATATATATATATGTATGTACATATAGCAATAACAATACTAATACTACGTAGTAATAAACACAACAATGATTTAATGCTGATAAGAATGTCACGAATAACAGCTATTGTCAATGTTGATAGTAAAAAAACAGCAAGCAACAATATATGGAAACAAACAGAATGCCTATATATATATATATACATACACACACATATATTTTTGTTTTTGGTGTTGCTTGAGATTTTCCCTTGGAAATGAAAAACCTTGGGTTGTATAACCTACACCCTAGACAGAAGGAACATAGAGTTCTAAGGAAGCCGTAGGAACAAGGGCACCGCTGATGCCGTTGAGGAAGATTATGGGAGCCAGATCTCGAATGGTAGCTCCGAATCTGATCTTCCTTGAGGTTCAGGGCTTAGGGTTTAGGGTTTAGGGTGTGTATGCTTTTGAGTGTCAATGTCTTCATGGCGCTTTTACACCTATAAACCCTGAACCCAATAAACCACAAACCCTATGTTTAGCCTGTGGGTTCTGACAGGAAAGGGGTTCATCTTGAACAAACTTGGGCATTTTCCAAAATAGGGGTACCCCCTGAAATAGCCCAAAGAGACTGTAATCCTCAATATAGGAACCCCCAAACGGGTACCCTTGTTCGGAAACTCCCGCTTGCGTTCGGTTTGAGGTCCGTCTTTGGCACTGAGGGCTGCGCAGGGTTTGGGGTTTAGGGTTTAGGGTTGCCAGTGTCTTCAACACTCTGTGTCCCTAACCCTAAACCCTAAACCCTAAACCCTAAGCCCTATGAAAACACACGTATTCCTCTGCCTGCTCTTCACTCATACTTTGGACGAAATGTGCAACAGCCCAGGGCTTTTGCAAATAACAACGCCCTACCAACGACAGTGCCCTCTGCAAAACACCTGCGGTCCCAATGGACGGCGTTGCCGGGTTTAGGGTGTAGGGTATAGGGGTATGGTTTAGGGTTTAGGGTTTAGGGTTTAGGGTTTAGGGTTTAGGGTTTAGGGTTTAGGGTTTAGGGTTTAGGGTTTAGGGTTTAGGGTTTAGGGCTTAGGGCTTAGAGTTTAGAGTTTAGGGTTAGGGTTGGGGATTTCACGCCCTTTTCACCTCAAAAGCCGAAACATTCAAAGCTCGAACTCATAAGATGCCATTTTTAACCAAGAAATCCGCCGAGGCCTCGGGCCGGAGGTGTATAGGTTGTCAGAACAGGCACCCCCCTCCAAATCCTCCCCCCACACCCAAAGCCCTTTTTCGGACCCCTTTTTTTTGCCTCAAATGGGTACCCCCCCTGGGAAACCGGGGTCCGCAAGCGGACGGTTCGCCACCACCCCCCCCCTCCCAGCAGGACCTGGCTCAACCCTACCCCAAAGCTTGAGCCCTAAGCCCTCAATCCTAAACTAACCCTCAACCCTAAACCCCAAACCATAAAACAATAAACCCGGAACCCTAAACCCTAAACCCTTGCTTGGGGTCCAGCGACTTGGGCGCTGTGGAATCACCATGCTCACGCGGATGCGCTGGGCCGGGCCGAGGCGGGTCGCGTAGCGTTAAAATTAAGCACCCCAAAAGAAGAGCTACAACTAAGGGTTTGCCTCCTTCTGGTTACACACCGATGCCCTGTGAACTACCAAAACCCCAAAGCCCCCCTAAACCCCAAACCCTAAAACCCTCAAACCCTAAACCGGAAACCCTGAAGCCCCAAAAACGAGAAGCCCTGCGCTCCGAGGGTCACGTAGTAGAGGAAGATGCCGCCGCACCCAGCGTGGACGCTGGTGCTCACCAGCATCAGCAGCGAGAGGGCGCGGTATTTCCTCAGTCAGTCCCATTGGTGTTTAGGGTTTAGGGTTTGGGGTTTGGGGTTGAGGGAATAAGGTTAAGGGTTTAGGGTTAAACCCAATACAAGTCGGGGCCCCTAGAAAATACATCGGGTTATAAGGGCCCTGAATTGGGTTTTGAGTGTTAATATTTAGGTCATAAGTCCTTCCACGAAAAAGGGGGGTGAGGGGCCCTACTTGTAGAACTATCCCAAGTACAGATAAGGGGGCGCCAACATTAGGCACCCCGGAATACCCAAAACAAAGAACTGCCATAAAGTGTAGTTTAAGGGAAGGCCCGATCACTAAGATTCAGCGCACGCGCTTGCCGAGATCCGCAAAAAAGTGGCAATTTTATTATTTCACATCCTGCGGCCTATATGCCCTTTACAGAGGAATGCCTGCAAATAGTTTGGTCCTTGGCCTGTTTTTTGTTAGGTACATCTTCCTTGCTTTTGCCTGGGAATGCGGTCGAAAGTGTGGAGTTGCGGTATAACTTTGAGATTAAACCCTAAACCCTAAACCCTAAACCCCAAACCCCAAACCCTAAAGCTCCTGAAGTTCGCAGAGCAACTGCTTCAGATGCCGAGCCGCTTTTGCACGATGATCCCCGACATCTGGAACAACCTGTCTCCGTGCGCAACTCGGGCGTGGGGAGGTTTAGGGTTAAGGGTTTTGAAAAGCCCTCCCGCATATACTCGTTCGTCATGTGCTAGACAGCCATTGAATAAGCTGGAATCAGCATGACAAAATCGTAGTTGGCTTGGGGCTTGTAGGAGGCTTCAGCTGCTCGTAACCAGGATCTACGACCTTTCTATCCCTAAACCCTAAACCCTAAACCCTAAACCCTGAACCCTAAACCCTAAACCCTAAACCCTGAACCCTAAACCCTAAACCCTAAACCCTGAACCCTGAACCGCGGCCCTATCGAGGCGCTCCTTCCCGGCTTCAAGTTGGGAAAGATGGGCCGATACTGCTCAGCCTGCACTCGAAGAGGGAGGGAGGGAGGGAGGGAGGCAGGGTTTAGGGTTTAGGGTTTAGGGTTTAGGGTTTAGGGTTTGGGGTTTCGGGTTTGGGGTTTAGGGTTTAGGGGGGAGGGGAGGGGAGGGGAGGGCAGGGGAGGGAGGGACAAAATAAGAACAAAGACATGCTGCTTTGGGGTTTAAGGTTTAGCGTTTAGGGTGTAGGGATTCGGGATGAGTCCGGGTATTTAAAGCTTAGGAAAGTCTGGTATTTCCGCAGAGGGTTTCTAGGGCTTCGAGGGTGGAAACGCTTGATAGGGTCGAAGGCTTGTTGGGCCTACAGGGTCTAGGGATTTGGGCCTAGGGCTCAGGGTTTAGGGTTGAGGGTTTAGGGTTCAGGGTTTAGGGCTTAGGGTCTAGGGCTGAGGGTTGAAGGTTGTGGGATTGGGGTTCAGGGTTGAGGGGTCTAGGGATTCGGGATTTCGGGTTTGCCATGCGCGCCCAGCAGCCGTCCATGACTCCGGGATGCCAAAAGTGGCGGACAGCAGGGCAATTGCCACCAAGCCAGTGGAGATCATCAGGCAGTGCCTTGAACGAATCAAGGGATTCCAAGGGTAGTGACATGGTCCAAGGGGAGCGACATGGTCCCTTAATATGGGCCCTTAAAAGGGTACAATATACCCTATACAAATTAAGGGCCCATACAGTAGAACCCTGCAAAGTAAGGGCCCATGTAACTACTCTTGAAAATCAAGGGGTTGAGGCTCGTGCCCCTTAAGGGTTGTACCCCAAAAGGATCCTCCTCCACACCAGGGTTTAGGGTTTAGGGTTTAGGGTGCCCAGGTTGGACTTCTTCTCTGAGTGGCCGGGTGCTGGCCACTAAGCTCGCCAAGGGCGTGACGATCTGCTCCAAGTCCTGCGCTTTGCGTCTTGGGGCTGTTAGGGTTTGGGGTTCATAGGGTTTAGGGTTTAGGGTTTAGGGTTTAGGGTTTAGGGTGCACAATACGCCCGAGCATGTCCAAGTGCTTCATTGGTGGAGTCGTTTTGGGGACAGCTTGACCGGTAAGGTGCCCAGGGTGGAAAGTCGGTTATGAATTCGAGGGTTGGAAGTTTAACATTTGCAAGGCCTTCGGTTTTAGGCAGGGGTTGATTGACGAGGGCATGGTTTGGGATTTAGGACTTAGGGCTTAGGGTGGCACTGCTGCTATCAGTGAGTTGTCTTGGGCTTGGGTATTAGGGTTCAGAGGGTTTCGGGTTGAAGTTGCACTAAGAGACACTAGTGGCCCCAAGTAACCACAGAACAAAAAGGGTGCCCTTTTCGGGTTAAAGGGGCTTATAAGGGAACCTAAACCCACCAAAAAAGGCAATAAGAGCCCACTATGGATCCTAGACTAATATCTAATATGCAAGACCGCAAGACCAGGGCACCAGATGACACGATCCCACTCAAAGCTCAGTCCCAACCCTAAACCCTAAACCCTGAACCCTACCCTAAACCCTAATTTAGGGTTTATAGACCCCTAAACCCTAAACCCTAAACCCTAAACCCTAAACCCTAAACCCTAAACCCTAAACCCTAAACCCTAAACCCTAAACCCTAAGCCAAGTAGCCATGGCTGCCGCAAGGGCGGCGAGAAAGGCAACTCGCTGCGATGCATCGGTTCGGTCCGCAATCCAGAGGCTGAACACCTCGGAGTCGGACTCGCAGTAAGGATCAGGGTTTAGGGTTTAGGGCGTCAGGGTTTAGGGTTTAGGACTTAGGGTTTGGTGTTTAGGATTTAGGGTTTTGTGCTTTAGGATTTAGGGTTGGCTTGGAATGAAGGTTAGGAGAGAACAACATGCCTCTGCCAGCGTTTTGGGGTCATTGGGGTTTAGGGTTGGGGGGGGGGGGGGGGAGGTAAACACATCAACCCTTCAGTCGAACTTGCAAGCCCTATCCGTGTCAGATTCGGGTTTCTCAGATTCCCCCTATAGGGGCCCTTATACGCCTCATACCCCAACAGCAGGATCCTTATGCTTAATTTGGGCCTCCGAATATACCGTCGACAGCTAGGCTGCCCAGTAACCTAGGATTGAAACGAGTTCCTTTTCTGCTCAAAGAGGCTCATCAGGGCAACAAGCGAAAAAGGGTACTACTGGGCATCCCAGACAAAGCTGTAGACGGAGTTGAATCAGGCTTCAGGCCACGTACCTATCTCGTATATACTTGGGCCGCATAAAGGGGTTCCCATACATTAGCTTTGGGTTGAGGATATAGGGTTTAGGGTTTGGGTAGCCGCCGAAACTCACTAAGAACCATGCAGGCAAGAAATGACACAATTCAACCAGAGGCCCATGTGTCAGCGCCGCCCGCAAGACAAGTTCAACCCTAAATCACAAAACCCCCAAATGAATCTCTAACGGACCTTCAGCCCTAAAATGACCCTAAACCCTAAACCCTAAACCCTAAACCCCAAACCCTAAACCCTAAATCCTGAACCCTAAACCCTAAATCTTAAACCTTAGAAACCATAACCCCCAAGCAGGAGAGAAGAGACCTTAGGGCCGGCGGGGGGCAACCACGCTGCACAGCGACCCGGCCAAGACGGACAGCCCGTAGTAGGCGTACCTTTTGACCGAAAGAGCCGAGGGGCGGGGGGGGGGGGGGGGGGAGAATATATATATATATATATATATATATTTATTTATTTATATTTATATTTATATCTATATTCATATTTATATTTATATTTATTTATGTATTGATTCATGTACTGATTTTACTTATCATATATATATATACGCATAATATATATATATATGTATGTATTGCATATATATATATATATACATACCATATAATGCCCAAAACAAACCCAATAAGATGAACTACACCAGGAAAGACCTTAAACCCGAAACCCTCGACCCCCCAAAAAAAACGAATCAAACCCCAAAAGGACTGCCACCTGCCACCTGGCGGCAGGGACAGGCCAAGCAGATCCACCAGCAAAAGTGTCGTGACCTTTGTGCAGTGTTTTATGGCGCGTGTTCGGGTTTAGGGTTTAGGGTTTAGGGTTTAGGGTTTAGGGTTTAGGTTTAGGGTTTAGGGTTTAGGATGTAGAGTTGCTCTTAGAGAAACGCCCAGCCTTCGGGTCAGAGATGGTACCCCAAAAAGGGTACCGAACCCTAAACCCGGTCGTCCGTCCCCGCGTAACCTAGGGTACCCCTACGGGCAGGGCCCCGCATTGACTTTTAAGTCCTATAACTAAAACTTTAAGTCCCTTAACTATAGGTGGTGCAGTTAGGGGCCCCGCCTTGGCACGCCAGGTCCACCAACTGCCCTTTTAGTTGTATACTTTACGGTATGTAAGCACCAAAAATGCCGGAAAACACGAAGACCGAGCAAGAGAGGAGAACATGCGAGAGTGTGTGTGTGTGTGTTTGAGGAAACCGCACCGCGTGGCTTCAGAGCCTTGCACTATGACAACAGTGTAAGAGCAGCGCAAGCTAGCTTCACACATGTAGAAGGATACTGGTGGCGGAGGGGGTGTTTGATAAAACCCTAGACCCTGGACCATAAAACCCGGAACAACAACGCAAAACCCCATGCCCGGCATTCCCGAGTACAAAAAACGACCCTAAACCCTAACTGAGCTGAACCTCTATATCAAAAGCTCTCAAAATCCACAAGCCCTCGAGCCCCCCCCACCCCCTCCACACCTGCAGCAGACCTATCAGCTCCACTGCAATGATCATCGGTTTCCGACCGAAACGGTCACAGAGCAGCGCCACGAGGGGGCTGGCGAAGAAGGTGCAAACCTGGACTGTTTCAGGGTTTAAGGTTTAGGATTTCGGGGCTTAGAGTTTAGGGCGCAGGTCATTTAGAGTCTAGGAGCATGTGTTGCAGGATTCCACAAAGGATTGAATAGAAAGGCACGACGATTTTTAGCGGAACGCTCAGAAAGGAGTAGTCTTGGAAAGAATTGCCCCGAGTACTTTCAGAATGCAAAGCTGTGAGTGCCGGAAGCTTCATCTAATCATCGCAGAGCTTTGGAAGGAAGATGGAAAAACACAAACTAAGCAAGGCGCTTTCTTGCGCTTCCTTCATGTTCCAAAAAACTGCTGGGTGAGTATGGCGTCGTTTCGGCAAGGATGTCAGAAGGCGGATGTACATAGCAGCTTGGAAACAGGTTACAGGTCAGTAGCGAACGGTGGGATGGCTTCTTGTTGGGTTTGTTGCTTCGCCTTTGGGATGTGTAGGGCAAAACTCTAGACGCTAAACCCTAAACCCTGCATGCTGTAGGGTTTAGTGCGTATAAGCCTAAACCGGCTTCAGCGGCTAGACCTGCGAGCATGTGCGATGTTCGGGATATGCCGCCTAAACCTAAATAAACTCTAGACCCGAAAGCCCAGATCCTAAACCCTAAATCCAAAACCCTAATCCCTAAACCCTAAACCCGAAACCTAAGCCCTAAACCCTAAACCCTAAACCCTAAACCACACATCCTAACGTCATCCGAAACCCTCAACTCTACGTGGGCCGGCATACTGCCGGCATCTTCCAGCCCAAACCATGTCATCAGATCGCCAAACCACCCCACCCGCAACCTGCTACATTTAGGGTTTAGGGTTTAGGGTTTAGGGTTTAGGGTTCAGGATTTAGGGCTTGAATGGAATTCAGAGCTCAAAGGTTTAAGGATTAAAGCGTTTGGATTTAGGCGATTTAGGGTTCAGGACTTAGAGGGCGTGGGGTGTGGGTTGAAAGTTTAGGTAGGAAGCAAACTACCCAAGAGTCCTAAACCCTAAACCCTAAACCCTAAACCCTAAACCCTAAACCCTAAACCCTAAACCCTAAACCCTAAACCCTAGCTCGACCCTGCTTTGTAGTTCCTTCTTGCGAGGTACCAGTTTGTGGCTCAGAATCCTGGGCCCAGCCGTCTCGTGAACCCTACAAGGTAGGCCTTTCATCGACTTGGGGGGATTTACGAGAAACCCTGATCCCCAACCATAAACCCCAAACCCCAGACCCTGAACCCTCAACCCCGAACCCTGAAGTAGGGCGCTAAACCCTAAACTCCTAAACTCCTAAACTCCTAAACTCCTAAACCCTACTGTAAACCCTAAACCCTAAACCCTAAACCCTAAACCCAGTCTACGGCTGCTTGCGGTGTGGCGCACGGCTCCAGCCAGGGTGAAAGACGAGCCGACTCGCGAGCTTTTTGCCAGGGCATCCTGGCAGGTTTATTTTGGTTTGGGGTTTAGGGTTTCGGGTTTAGGGTTTAGGGTTTAGGGTCTAGGGTTTAGGGTTTAGGGTTTCGGGTTTAGGGATCAGGTTTAAGGTTTAGGGTTGGCTCGGGCTCTATGTTTCTGAGTTGAATGAACTGATCTTGCAGTATGTACTGAGTTGTCCAGTATCCTGAGGGAACTAAAGGTAAACCTTTCGGGTTGTAAAGGGAATAGAAGAACCCAAAAAGGTTAGAGGTTACCTACTCTGTATGTATGCATGTATGTGTTCATGTGTTCATGTTGCTGTCGCCGCTGCCATGAGCACTACGTTTATTGCTGCATGCTGCGGCTTTCTTGCGCCCAGTTCCACCTCACCACCCCCCCCCCCTCCAACCGCATGAGCTTCGTGCTGCTTGAAGGTTCACGGGTGGAGCAAGGTGGTAAGTAAGAAAAAGACGAAACTGAAAAGAATGATGAGAAGTCGAGCCGAATCCTCTTTACAATCCCTCCAGGCCCCCCCCCCCCCACCAACCCCACCCTAAACGGTTTAGGTGGTGGGTGGGTGGCGGGAAAAACCTTCCAAAATCCTACAAAAAAACAACAACAATAAACAAAACACTACAAACAAACCTATAAACCCCCATAAAAGCCCCATAAAACCCTCAAAAAAAAAACCTAAACCCCAAACCTTAAACCCTTAGCCCCAAATACGAACCAGCCCGTAGCCGCTCTTTTGGCACCTCGCAGGCTTTGGACGTGTGAGCCGCGCCGATGCAAGGGTCCACGCCACCTCTGGGGTTGACTTTGGGGGGGACTGACCGAAACTTAGGGTCTTAGTAGCCGTTCGGGACGTGACGCGGGACGCGCGTCTGGGGACACGGTCCGGGACGTGGCCGCTGACCCTCCTCAGGACGCAGCCTGCTCCAGGTCTATAGAAAGCGATGCGGCGCTCGCGTGCGTTTCCAGGGGGTGGGAAAACGCACGTGTACTTGTGTGTTGAGTTTAGGGTTTCGGGGCTCGTCCCACAGTTCGTTCCTTCCCCTTCCCCTCCCCTCCCTTTCCCTTCGGGAGGCCTGGAAATGCACGGGAGGTTTCGGTTTCCGGGTTCAGGGTTTGGGGCTTTGGGCCTCGAGGTTTTTGCACAGAGTGACTCCTGCCTAGCCCCCGAGGAACTTTCTAGGGAACCTCATGAGGACCCCTTCCAGCTCTGCACTGTCCAAAAAGGCTCGGTGCGTTTCGCGAGGTGCATTTTCCGAGGCTTTTGCACTGAGTGATTCCTGCCTAAGCCCCAAACCCCTATATAAGGAACCTCATAAGTCATGAGGTCACCTTGCAGAAGGCTCTGTATTGTCCAAGAAGGCTCTGCGCGTTTTGGGGGCCCTGGAAAATGCACGGGAGCTTTCGGGTTC